CCCGTGTCCCGTCTGTTTAATACATAAACAAACTTATGATCTTACGTATACAGTTCCTCAGTCCACCTACAGCCAAGCACGAGGCATCGTCCCTCACAGTCATTACCGTTCCCTCCCTGTCACTGTCGAAGAGTCCGGCTTTGCTCAAAGTTGACGGCTGCAGGTCAGTCATTTCACATCTGCTCAGTCTTCCAGCTGCACAGTTTGGGTGCAGGAATCCTATAAAGCCAGGCGTAAATGCCACCCTCTAACACACCAGTCCATTGAGGGACACTGACTCCCAGCCAGCAGGGAAGCTGGGCAAGCCTCATAGTCACGTAATGCTCCAGTGAGAACCGAGTTCAAATCTGACCTCCCTATTTAAAGGTCATGTGACCTTGCATGGAAGATTTCACTTGTCTACGCCTCTATCTCCTTATCTATTAAATTGGGGTAATATAGCACCTACTTGACTAGGTTATCCTCTAGAATAGAAGAGGAAAGAAATGCAAAACTCTTAAAGACAGCATCTAACCAGGGCAAAGGACTCAGTACCGAGACGTACCCTGACACCCTGACACTGCAAGGCCTCTCAGAACGAAATGCTGTCATGGTCTCAGTGTATTGGCAGCACGAGGAGCTCCTGATGGAGACCAGATCCTAAAACCAGACTTCCTGGGCTTGAGTTCTGCAGGAATGGGAAGCACGACTGTGTAAGTGTTTGATGTTATTGCAATTAGCACTGTGATAAAGTAACGTCTATATGTACATGGTATATACAGTAAGACAAAGTAACGCCTATATGTACATGGTATATACAGTAAGATAAAGTATGTCTTTATGTACATGGTATATACAGTAAGATAAGGTATGTCTATATGTACATGGTATATACAGTAAGATAATAAAGCAATGTCTACAGTACATGGTATATACAGTAAGATTAATAAAGTCTATACATACATGGTATATACAGTAAGATCTTAGCAATAACAACTGCTCTTTAGAAATGGTTACTTTGATAAACCTCCATGTCCCTGGAGATTCTGGTCACTCACAGGTCTCAGAGGCATTAGGTGTTTACTTCCTCTTACACTGTTGGTGGGGGCCCCAAGAATCTTCCAAGCTTCCATTCTTCCTGGATACTGTGACCACCTGTTTACCTCTCTCCAACCCCCTTTTTGGAGCATATGTTTCAGTTTGGAGATAATGTTGCCATTGGTCAGAACATGCCACATAAGAAGGCAAAACATCCTTATGCATGAAATGAAATGAATAAATCTTTAAAAATGTTTTAAAAGGCATAGCTTCCCCCTAATTATCATCAGAGGATTGGAGTCAGGACCCTCGGAGACACCAGAATCTGAGAATGCACAAAGCCCTTGTTTTAAAAATTGATAAAGCCTTTTCCATAAGATGTACATATCTTCCATATATTATGGTCATCACTAGATTGCCGCCCTATCTGGTACAACATAAAGGTTCGGTAACTTTATGTTCTGTGTTGCTTAGAAAACAAGGAAAAATGTCTCTGCATGCTCAGGACAGATGAAATATAAATGATATTTTTTATTCAACATTGGTTACATGCTTATATGTGAAGCCCACGGGTAGCGCAGACTAGGTCTGCTTCCCTGTTGGGAGGCTGTCAAACCTGACCACAGTTGCTTTTCCCTGTGTGTGAGCCAGAGGTGTCTGTCTCCAACCCGGAGCCCCATCCTCCTTGGGCTACACACTCAGCCCCTGCCTGCAGTGGCCCCGCCCTAGGCTCTCAGCCTCTCTCCAAGTTACTTGTCTGGTTCCTTCTCCCAGGGTGGTTCCTACCTTGCACAGGAGAGACGAAGCATCCTGCCCTGCCAGTCTCTTGAAGTGGTGACATTTTGGCAGTCCAGATCTCCCTGGGCCTCACTCACCACTCTGACCCTGAAGATTGGGGGAAATGGAAGAGAATTGGACAACCTGCCCCCTTCTAGCAGGAAATCATAGTTTCGCCAATCCCAGAACTGATAAACAAGTGCAACACTGGAGAAGGAGGATACAGTGATGCTCAGGCTATTGTCACAGCCGCTGCTCTGTGCATGCGGGAACAAAGGGGGCCTGTGTACAAACACAGGGACAATACTGTTGTGTTGCCAGCTGCTTCTGTGTTACTCCCGGGGACAGCGGATGAAAAATGAGGCCATGGTGAGCTCTGGACCTCACTAATCTTAGCAACCAGGCCATTTCGGACATGGAAAAGACACAGGAGCATTCAATCCATGGTTTCTATAGTGGGAAACAGGGGACAGTGCCCCAAGCGTGATCTATTGCTTACAGGCCATTTTCAATACATGTGAAATCCTCAGCGTCTCTCTCCTCTTCCCTTTCCAGCTTTCAAAGATGTTAGAGTAAAAAGAACTGTTGTGGTCATCTTATGATCCTCAAAGCTTAGTTTTCATAAACACAAACAAACTCTAGCCAATATTCTGACTTACAGCCACTTACTTTGTAGTTAACTTCCATGCTTTGGCACCCCCCTCCAATGTTTTGAAACTAGACAGTGTGGGTTTTTAACCTAAGTAATTGTGCTGGTTAATTTTTAGATATCAACATGTTACAGCCAGTAATCCATCTGAGAAGGGAGTCTCAAGGGAAGAGTTACTTCGGTTGGGTTAGCCGGGGTTAGCCTGGGTGCATATCTCCGGGAGGTTGCCTTAGTTGTTAATTGAGATGGGATGACCCATCTCAATGTGGGCAGCACCTTTTCATGGGCTGGACACTGAAAGGTGTAAGTGAGATGAAGGCCAGCTGAGCATAAGCAGCAAACAAACAGCTTGGGTGCCTTTGTTTCCCGCTGGGCTCCTGAGCATGCTGGTATGAACAGGGTCTCGAGCTCCTGCTTCAGTGATGCGCTGATACTAGGAACTGTAAGTCAAATCCTTTCTTCCTGTGTGCTGCTTTCTGTCAGCGTTATTATCACAGCAGCAGAGATAAAGCCAGACTGTTTTAATTTACATTTTAATTGTATGTCCTAATAAATAAATGAAATCCATGATAGTTTGGTAACTTACAGTGTATGCATAAAGATCTCTGTCAAGATGCACTTTTCACAGGAAATAAATAAAACAGAGAAATTAATCTATTCAAAGCCAACATTCAGTCTGGTAGATTTCGGTGCAGGACAGTCTATAACAAGCATGTCTGCCCTTATTCCCACAGCTGCTCAGCTTCCAAGTTTAGAATTTTTGGAAGCCTTTTAACTGACATTTTATCATGCTGATATCTGGCACAGTCCACAGCATCTCCAGCCAAGCTCCGAGCACTTCCAATTCCCTCACGTATGGGTAGAAGTTTAGTTAGCAGCATCTGGAACTCCAGTGGGGGAGGAGACTGCTCTGACACCTGCAGTGGCTGCTGAGGCTGCCCACACACCGCAATGGCATGCATCCATATCCCCGGCATGGTCCATACCCTCGGTGCATCCACCTTTCACTGATAACTAACTCTTCACCTAGCTGTGTTTATTCAGGGAAGAATGAGTATCTTTAAAGTCAGGTATCAGGAAAGACCAGCTCCCTCCTTCACAGGTTTCTGGGTTTTTCTTAGTTCTGGAAGCCCATTCTTAAAATTGGAGTCACTTCCCATCTTGCAGCAAAGAGAGCTCCACACATGCCTGTGGAGGTGGCTGTTCTGACCACAGTTTTTGCTTCACTGGGATGTGAGCCTCCCCTAGCGCAGGCAAGCAGTGATTAGTGTCTTGTGCCAGAGCTCACAGCCGGCAGCCGCTTTGAACCAGGGTGTGAAAAGGTCACACTTAAAACTGTATGCATTATTTCAAGGCCAGAAATCCTGGAATGGCTCGGCTGAGTGGCTCTGCCTCAGATCTCCTAAGACGTTTGTGTTGGTCACTGTTTGTCACTGTGACACAATACTGTGCAGGAACGACTCAGAGGAGGAAGGTTCATTTCTGCTCGTGGTTTCAGAAGTTGTACTTTAACACGGCAGAGCAGGGTGGCAGTAATATCCAGGCAAGGCTCCTTACATGCTAGCAGACAGGACACCAAGCATACGGGCCAGAACCAGAAGCAGTACAGCTCTCAAAGGCCTGCCAACAGTGACACTCGATAGACAGGTCCCATTTCCTAAATTCCACAACATTCAAAACAGTCCCAGAAGCTGGGGACCAAGTGGTCAAAGCCTGAGCCTGTGAGGCAGATTTCAGAGTCGACAAATAAGAAGGTTGCAGTCCAGCAGTTGGTTCGGCTACTACTACTTTCAGACTCCCTAGAGGCTGGAACTTCTGCCCCTGAGGAAGGCGGTGTTTGCAGGCCTCAGTGCCTTGCTGCATGAGCCTCAACGTTGAGTTGAGTTCCCAGAGCGAGAGACCCAAGGAAAGAGTACACGGAGAGCATGTGCGAGACAGGCAGCCCTGAGGGAGGCAATACTTTCATATGCCTTCCTGCCTTCCAGTCCCTTCCTAACCACCTGTTCTTCACACCAGAGCTCTCCTGGGGACCACATGAAAGTCACTAAGAACCCTAAATGCTTTGGCTTCACTGTCTGGTAAGGCTGATTATAGTACCGAGCCCGTACTTCTCTACAAACAGGAAAGAAACTATATGCATAAGAGCACTGTGTTTTTTACAGGGTTACTGCAGGTGTGCATACGTCCACGTGTGCGTGAATTCCAAGAATTCGAATCGGCACAGCTTAGTTTAAATCCATATGGCGAGGAGGAAAATCACTGCTGTGGCATCTACGTTGCCAAGGTGCCTGCCAAGTGTGCAGGTGCATTTCCCAAATCAGCCAGCCTACCCAGAAGGGCAAAGGCAAAACCACTTTCCCTGACCTAGGAAGTCCAGACAGCTGCTCCTTGGAAATCATCCCATACCCAAGTTCTCCCAGCACCGGCTCTCTGGTCCTTGAATACGATTTCCAGACCTTCTGCACACCCTACTACTTTTACGCTAGTCTCGCCTGACACGGTGAAGAACTACAACTCCCGGCATGCCCCGCAAGGTGTCACGTGGCACGCCCCGCTTGCTCTCTCTGTCACATGACTGCAGAAAGATGGCGGCCTTGTCAGCGGAGCATTTCGTGGCGCTCCAGAGCCTGCTGAAGGTATCTGGCGGCAGGGGTGGGGATGCGTTCGGCGGCTGCCTTAGACTCTGGGACTTTGTACAAAGCAAGCGTTGGGAATAAACCGGCTCTGTCTCGGAACACTGCCCCCTCGCAAGTACTTGTCTGTGTGACACATAAAATCACTTAGCCTTTCTGAGTTTTTAAACAGAGCAACAAACTTAATCACTCCCTGATATTAAGGTGGAAGTTAAAAAATAGATAATTGATGTGAATTCACCGAAGAATGAGTGAGTACGAGTGGTTTTCGGGACTGGAGCAGCCGAGTGGCAATCAGTTCCCTATTCCATCCAGGTCCGTCTGCCCGCACTATCAGAAATTCTTTTCCTTGGGTTGTATATGCTTCCAGCGCTGAGTTGTGTGTGCGTTCTGACCCACTGAGGTCCAGTCTGTATTGGTTTGGCCTGTATGCGGCCGCAACACTTTCCTGACCGTCTTTGATAGGTTATGAGGTTGAAAAGGACATGAAATTTATGCCCTGGCAATGCTGAAGCATGCTTGGGCAGCCCGTACATAGTGGTTCTGTTGAACTTGTCCATATTGGGTTTCATGGTCTAAGTTGATGAGGACGACTGACCAGGTCTCTTCCTCAAGAGGGCCCCAGATCTCATTACAGATAGTTGTGAGCCACCTTGTGGTTGCTGGGAATTGAACTCAGGACCTTTGAGAGAGCAGGAAGTTCTCTTAACCGCTGAGCCATCTCTAAAGGGACATACCACTGGAGATATCATAAAGTTTGAATTACTCTGTAGAAGTGTGGCTTTACCATCCCTCTTAGAACTTACCACTAGCTGACATCGCGGATCTGTTCATAGTCTCTTCTCAAGAACAAGATTTCAGATTGTTTTCCTTTCTTCTCTAGTGAAGATCAGGAATGATACTGGTGGCACTATCATTATCAGCCACATTTGCTGGCTCCTCTCCTGAAGGCTTTGACTTTTGTTAATCACAAGTGTATCCCAGCAAGCAGAACAACTCCTGGCACCCAGTATGTGCTGAAGCAAGAGCTACTGAGTGCATTAGTGCAACATAACTGTAACTAGGAACTAGAGTTCTCATGCCCAGCCTTTAGCCTTTGTGGTGGCTGATTTGGATCATTGCTTCTCCATTGCTGCTTATCTTGGGACATTTTGTTTTCTTTGATAAACTTTAAAATGTGATCTATAGCATAGATGCTGAAAATGCGGAAATCGTGAGGGCTTCACTTTCTGACTACGCCCTCGTAGCCCACACTAGATCACAAACTGAGACACCTGCCCCCGGAAGTCCCTCCCAGTTCCTCATTTCTTCCTCTGGCCTTCCCAGTGGTGCACTGCTTCTGACACAGCTAATTTAATATTGCTCATAGCTGAACTCCACAAAACTGGAACAGTTTGAACACATTCATTTTCACATCTGGTTCTCAGGTATGATGTTGTAGCGGTAGCTCATTCATTTGCATTGTTAGTTCTATTTTTAAAAATTAAAGTTTATTATAAGTCAACCTTAGAGCCACATGTAGTTGTAAGAAATAATGCCGGGAGATGCCATTTACCTTTTGTCAAGCGTCCCCTAATGGTTACTTTCTGGGAATCTACAGAACAGTATCACCGTTGGGGTATTTACGTTGATATGCTCAAACTGTACAAGGCATTTCTGTCGGTGGAAGAGCCCGTGTTGGTGTCTTACAGCCATGCTCCCCTGCAGTTGGCTCCAGACCTCCCTTACACTTCTGTGTTCTTCTGTCTTTGTTTTTCATTTCACGTACTTTGGTAAGTCTCATTGTAGATGATGTTTGTGGATTGGCTTTCCTCACTCAGTCCAATTCTCTAGAGCAGTGTTCTCAACCTGTAGGTCTTGACCTCTTTGGGGGTCACATATCAGGTATCCTGTATATCAGACATTTATTTTATTATTTATAAGAGTAGCAGAATTACAGCAATGAAAATAATTTTATGGTTGGTGGTCACTGAAACATGAGGGTCGCAGCACTAGGAAGATGAGAACCACTGCTCTAGAGAATCATAAATCGTGTGTGTCAACAGTTGCTTCCTTTTTAGTGCCTAGGAGTCTGCTGTAGTATTTGTTTGCTAGCTCACCGCTCTATTGAAAGACATGTAGACTGTTTCCAGTGTTCCCTGTTACAGAGAAAGTTGCTCGGTCATCTGGAAGTCGCGTGGTTTAAAGACATCTCCAGACCTTTCCAGAGCGCCTGTGCTACTCCACACTTACATCTGTGCCCGCATCAGCATCTGGGGCTGTCTCTGTGTCCTAGATGATTCTGATAAATGTGTCTTAGATCTCAGTGTGTTGGTGTCGGGGAGGGTGTATACATATGTGTTTGTGGGTGTGATTGTGGGTGTGTACGTGTGGTGGTCAGTCCTTGTCTTTAGTCTGGTTGAAGACAGGATCTTTCTCATCATTCACTGCAGCATACACCAGGCTCACTGTCCCGGAGCTTCTGGGAATTCTTCTGTCTATCATTGTGTAGCAGGAGCCCTGGGAGATATGTGTCCTACTTCAGCTTTTGTGAGTGTTTTGGGAATCCCGCTTCGGTCATCAGACTTGTGCAGCAACTGCTTTACCCACCGGGCTGTCTCCCCCAGCCCTGCATCTATCTTTAATATTTCAGTCTGTGATCTATACAGAGCCGTTTTTTATAAATTATGTGATATTTAGGTCGAGTGTGCTTTTTTAATGTCAAATTGTTTTAGTACCATTTGTTAAAAAGAAAATCTTTCCTATACTGAATTACTTTGCAATTCAAGAATCCTTTGGGCATATCTGTGTAGTTTTGTTTCAGGGTCCTCTGTTGCCTTGATCTATGTGTTCTTTCCTCCGAGTATGCCCAGTGATTGCTCTAACTGTATAATAAATCTTGAAATCAGACCGGTTCCTCCTAGTTTATTCTTCTTTCTCAAAGTTGATTTGGCTAGGGAGATAGCTCAATCTATAAATCCTGTGTTATGCAAGCGTGAGGTTCTGAGTGTGATCTCTGGACCCCAGGGGAAAAGCTGATGTGATGGTGTGCACTTGTAATCCCAGTGGGTGGTGTGTGCACTTGTAATCCCAGTGGGTGGTGGTGTGCACTTGTAATCCCAGTGCTGAGGAGACACGGACAGTGGGGTGTCTGGGGATGGCTGGGCTTGACTATTGACTACTTGGCTGGCCCAGACCAATGAAGAACCTGTTTCAGGAAGCAAGGTGGATGCTGCCTGAAGAACCACAGTGAGATTGTCTTCCGTCTTTACATTCATGTACACGCATGTGCACATGTTCTCCCAACACATTCACAGGCGTGCGTGTGCACACACACCACACACACACACACACACACATGCTTGCACATGTTGCTTTAGCTGCTCTAACTTGTTTGTTTTTTTAGTATACATTTTTTTAAATGTTGTTGGGTATTTCTGAAACAAATGTTTAGATTTTGATAGGAATTGTTTTTAATCTATGTGTCAACTAGGGTCAAGGTGCCCTCTTTAGGGTGTTGAATCTCCCAGTATGTAAACTTGGTGTGTCTCCGTATTTATTTCATCTTCTCTGGGCTCTTTTGTCTGCAGTCTGTAGTTGTATCACAGAAGTCCTAGAATTCATTCTTTGACCATTGCAAAGGACACTTTTTAAATTATGTTCACATAACTTGTCCTGACTTCCGTCAGCGATTGGGCATGACCTGAGAGCTGTAAGATGAAATAAACCTTTTCTCCCAATCACAGCAATGGAAAGCAAACTAAGACAATCTTCCTGGAGTACTGGGTTACAAAGCAGAATGAGCAGGAGATATACTTTCTGTCAAGGAAGAAAGGGAAGGGAGGCTTGTTGAAGATGGAGCAGATTTCTGAGGAGGAAGGGAGGAAGATAGAAGAGGAGGGAGGAGGTGGGAGAAGGGGGTGTGGGGATGGGGAACCGGAATGTATTAGGATACTCTTCTCAGAATTGTAGATGGTAGAAGATAGCCAGTAGTTCTGTGAAAATATTGATACACTAGTGAATAGGTAAGGCCAAAGCCAGGGCACCAAAGCTGGAGTACAGTCCTTGCTCATCGTCAGTAACCTCTGCTTTGTATTTTGAAAGATGCGTTTTCTCTGAGAAACATCTGTCCATTACTCGGACAGACAGCACCCAAGTTAAGATGGTTCAACCTTCGATTGTTTGACCTTGCAACACTGTGAAAGAAATAGCTTTGGGTCCAAAGCACACACTAGATTCAGATCATCTGGCTTGCAGCATCTGGGAAAGATACTTGCAATGCCAGGGGGCAGTTCTGAACCTAGCTGTGCTGGACATAGCCTAGGTTGTTAACTATAGGCTTTCACAGATGCCCTTCCCGGTTAAGGACGTGTTCTGCAAAGGTTTACTTGATCCCCAAATTCTCCCATGCTCACTGGCCAGGTGGGGTCATGAGGCTGCAGTCTCCTGGGATGTGCACCCTTAGGTTTTAGGTGTGTATACTGGCCTCCCATGATGCCAGGTAGTTTTTTCTAAGAATTTTATATTTTTGAGGTTTTAATTTTAAATGTATTTATTTGTGTGTGCACAGGCACACACACACTCACATATCCAGGTATGGAGGTCAGAAAACAACTTGCTATGGGTGAAATTTCTGTTCCCTCCCTTCTCAATTCCCAAATATCCAACATGGAGACTTAATTATAAATGCTCAGTTGATAGCTCAGGCTTATTACTAATTAGCTCTTACAACTTAAATTAATCCATTTCTATTAATCTGTGTATTGCCACCTGCCTTATGGCTTTACCTTTCCTCCAGCGTGTCTTGCTCCCTCTGTGTCTCCTGTGACTCTACTTACTCCACCCTTCTTCCTCTCAGCATTCTGTTTGACTGTCCATCTGTACTTCCTGCCTGACTTATGAGACTAATGATAACTGATGAGAGTAATGTGTATTCACAGTGTACAGAAGGATTATTCCCCAGCACTTGCAGTGCTTGGCTCTTGCCTTATACCATGTAGGTTTTAGGAATCAAGCTCAGGGCCTCAGCTCATGCCTTTCTTTCCCTGCCAAAACAGCTCCTTGGTTGAGAGGGTTTTCTTTGTTTGTTTATGTAAAATATTGATGTTTTATTTTATCAAGCATTGTTCTTGGTTTGTTTGTTTGTTTGTTTGTTTTGAGAGTGTGTGGTTTTCCCCCTCTTTAATCTGTTAAAATGTGAATTACATAGATTTTCATACACTTAGCTAGATTTATATTCCTGGGATAAATCCCATCTGGCCATAGTGTATAATCCCTTTTATACATTGTTTATATATTGCTTTTTCTATATGTTACTATGTTGCTAAGAATTTCTGTGTCACTTGTTATGAGGGGATGCAGATTTGTAATTTTCTTTATTCCCTTCTTTCTCTTTTCCCTTTTTTGAACTATCCATCTGATTTGGATATTTAGGTAATTTTACCAATGAAATGAGTTGGAAACTGTCCCTTCCTCTGTATTCTAAAAGAGATTTATAGAATTGATGTTTTTAATCTTGAAATGTTTGTTAGAATTCTCCAGTGAAAATGTCTAGGTCTAGAGTTTGTTTTTTTTTTTTTTGAGTTAATGCTGTGGGTTCAATTTCCTGAGTAGTGACAGCTGCTGCATATCTGTTTCATGTGAGGGGCGTCGTGATGGGGTTTTTGAGTAATTGGTTCATTTGTGGAAGCCAGCAGGTTTGTGTGTAGGCCTCCCTCATCCTTTCAGTGTCTGGCTTGTCGTTCTTGCCAGCTCTTTGTTTCACCTGCTTCCCCTGTCCTCTTACTGGGGATGTTCCATGGATGTCAATTAGAGTGATGGATGGTGTTGCTTCATTCTCCCGTGCCCTCTTTCATATCTGCCTGGTTCTGTCGGTCGCTGAAGGAGGGGTGCCGCTGTGCCCGTGGGGTTGCGGAAATCCTGTTTCTCCTTACACTTCTGTCAGTTTCTGTTTTGCAGTTTGCAGTCCTCTTGCTGGTTGTATACACATTCTGGGTGTTTTCTTAGTGGACAAAATCTGGCAGCATTTTTTAATACTGTCCTGATAGTTTTCTTTCTATAAAGTACGCTTTATCTGTTATCAGTGTGGCCATTCTTGCATTCCTTTGATTGATGTTTGAATGGCATTCTTTATTCATCCGTCCACTTTTAGCCTGCCCATATACTTAAAGGGAGATCCTTGTGTATAGCATTTAATATTTTTCATCTACTCTGTCCATTTTTCTGTTTCAGTTAGAATATTTAGGTCACTTAAGAGTTAGTACAAATAATTGTCATGCTAGGACTTAAATCTGCTCTTTTTGTTTTTTTGCTCATTCTTTTTTATTTTTTTCTTACATTTCTCCACTTTCCCAAGGGTTATCTTAGGGGCTAGGAAGATGGCTATCTGGGTAAGAGTGCTTGCTGTGCACTCGTGAGAGCCAGAGTTGGATCCCCAGCACTCACCTAAGAAGCTGTGCGTGGCCACACAGCTCCCTGTAATCCCAGCATTGTAAAGATCAGGGAACAAGAGGGTCTCTGAGAGTCAGACTGCTGGCCTAGCTCCAGTGCAGTGAGAGACCTTGTCTAAGGGCATACACACACACACAGATATACACATGCACATACACACACATGCACTCCCCTCCTGATGCACACACACACACACAATACATACACATGCACACACAGTTCTCCTCTGGTATACACATACACACACACACTCCCCCTCTGATGTATACACACATCCACAGAGATGCACACACACTCCCCCTCTGGTGTACACACACATATGCACATGCACACACTCGTACACATGCATGCAGCACGCACGTACATTTATACAAAGAATCCTGTATTATCTGGGGTTCTAAAATGACCTTTCTAGTCACATCATACTTGTATCACAGTCTGTTGGTGTCATCATTTTATCAGCTAGGATGGAGTCTAGTTATAACCCATTTGTATTAAATATTTCTTGTGCATTACATTTGAAGCTTTACCAAACTATGCTATAATTTTTGCTTAGCCTTCAAATGTAATTTAGAAAATGTGTGTGTGTGTGTGTGTGTGTGTATGTTACGTCTTTGCTTATTTTTTTCTGTCTTCATGTTCTAGGAAAATCTGTAAAAACACTGACTGCCATGGTCAGAAGGTGGCAAGAGACTAAAAAAATATGTCATGCACATTGCTGATGCTCCTGGTGCCGGCATCAACTTGCAAACCACTCTGATGGTTCTGTGTATCCCTGGGATGCAGGGAAAGGGGCAGGTTTGCTGAGGGGCGGTATGGCAGGGATGGCCCAAGACAGTTTCCGTCAGGTCCCAGTGGCTCCCACACTCTGTCATTCCTTCTCTGTTGAAGAACTCGCCATAGCCAATTCATGGTAGATCTGACAGATTATCTTGGTTGTGTTTCGTTCCTGAAGGACATTTGCTGAGGGTCCTAGGCTGACAGTTCATCCCACACCTGAGGAACATTCTCTTTAGACCCTGAGTTCTAGCATGAAAGCCGTTGCCAGTCTGAGTGTTTCTCACACTGCTTATAATTTATGTGTGTGTTTCTTTTAAAAGCTCAATTTCTGGTGTGTCTTGGTATGCTGTTTTAAAATTATGCTCTTTAGGGTTTACTTGGGTTCTGGAAATGTTTACCATTAAGTCTGATTAAACTTGGAAAGTTTAATATGTTCTATTATTTCTTAAATGTTATCCATCCACTGTCTATTTCTGTCCATCCATCCATCCGTCTGTCAGTCTATCATCATCCCTTTCCTCTTTTGTTTCCTTCCATAACTTAACTGGTACACTTGTTAGGTCTTTGGTAGAGCTCTGCCGACCCCCAAGGCCTTGTTGATTAGTTTCAGTCCATTTTCCTCTGTGCAGGCTGGGTAATTTCTTAGGATGGACTGTCTTCCATCTATTTCTCTGATGTCCCTTCTGTGTTGCTGTGCTGCCTTGTTCTCTGGGTGTTTGTTTGGGTTGTGTCTCCCAAATGCAATTTGTTTGCTTTATATTATTGTTGCCTTATATTTTTTGCCAGTCTTTTTATTTGTTTCAGGAATATTTTTAATGATTGGAATATTTCAAAATCATAGCTGCGTCAAAATCTTGGTCAGATAAATTTAACATTGTCCCCAGACAGTCCCATCATGTAGCCCAAGTTGACTGCAACTTGTAATCTTATTCCCTCAGCCTCCTGTGGCTTCTCTTCATTCCCCCTTTCCATTCATCCCAAAATCTTCCTGGTTTCTGGTCACACGGGTGGTTTTTATTAGAACCTGGACGTGTCCCTGTTATGTTCTGACTGTGCATAGTATTTAAATCTTGTTTTAGCTAGCTTTCCCCAACATTGCACGGCAGAGAGAAGGGATGTCTTTTGTCAGCTTCCCCAACATTGCTACGGCAGAGAGAGGGGATGTCTTTTGTCAGCTTGACTCAAGCACAAATGAGATAGAGTCTTCTAGAAAGAGGGAACTCCAATTGAGAAAATGCCTCTATCAGACTGGCCTGTAGGCAAGACTGTGGGCGCATTTCCTTGATTAATGATGGATGTGGGAGTGCCCAGCCCACTGAGAGTGGTGCCAGCCCTGGGCAGACAGTCTTGAGAAAGCAGGCTGAGCAAGCCATGAGGAACAAGCTGGTGAGTGCTGCTCCTGCGTGGCCTTTGCTCAACTTTCTTCCTCTGTATTCCTGCCTTTGCTACCCCCTGATTGTGGACTGTAACATGTAAGCTAAATTAACCTTTTCCTCCCCAGGTTGGTTTTGGTCAGTATCTTATCACAGAAAGAGAAACCTCATTAATTCTCCATGGAGGTGGAAGTCCAGATTCCCCACGGGACAGTGTGGCTTGCTAGAAGCCATTGGGAATGAGGATCCACGTTCCCCTCTTGCCTTTCCTGGTTCTGGATACCATCTGCATTAGTCAGGGTTCTCTCGGGTCACAGAACTGATAGAATGAATCTCTCTCTCAAAAAAGAAAAAAAATGTGAATCTCTCGTCTTGAGATATATATGGAATTTACTGGAAGAACTTACAGGCTGTCTTCTAACAATGGCTGGCTGTGAATGGGAAGTCTAAGAATCTAGTAGTTGCTTAGTCCCATGAGGTTTGTGTCTCAGCTGGTCTCTGTGTATGCTGGAGTAGGATCCCAGTGAAGTAGATCCCAGTGATGGAATGTATGTGCCGACACAGTGAGGGCAGGCGGGTGAAGAACAAGCAATCCCTCCCTCCTTCCACGGTCTTTATATAGGCTTCAGCAGAATGTGTGGCCCAGATTAAAGGTGCGCCTTCCCACCTCAAGGTCTGGATCACCAGTGTGCCCTCTGTTTCTGGACTGTAGTTATAGTTCCAGATATAGTCAAGTTGATAACCAAGAATCGCCTTCAGACCACCCTAACAGGTGTTGGGATTCCTTGCTGCAGCCTCGATTACAGGGCTTACTGCTCATGGCGAGACTTCCTGTCAGCCATTGTTAACCACTCTACCCCCCCACCCCCCCACCCGTGATGTGCTCACGGTCCTCTGTGTGACTGTTGTTGGGGCTGAAGTAGAGGAGTCACTGTCTGAAGGGATTCCATCTTAGGAGGCTGCCCCTCTATGGCCAGGTCTGGGATCAGTGAGACAAAGGGAACCCAAGAACTTGAGCCCTGTGTCAGTCCCTGGGCTTCATCCTAGCAGGTCCGCCTTCTCCCCCCTTCAGGGCTTGTTTCCCCCGAGTGCTCAGGATTGGTTCTCAGCAGGAGGAGTAGGGAAAGGTACATCCAGTCCGTCTCCCCAGAAACAGAAGTGTTTAGAAACTCTCAAAAGAATCATAAAATAACCAACACAGGTGTTTGCAGGGTCTAACTGTGTGTGCTTCCCTAGGCCTCCTCGAAAGATGTCGTCAGACAGCTGTGCCAGGAAAGCTTTTCCAGTTCAGCCCTTGATTCAAAAAAGCTCCTGGATATTACGTGTTCCGGCTTGTCTGTGACGCAGGAGGAGGCAGAGCAAGTAAGTGTGCTGAGAAGTGGCCGTCACCCGCCAGTCCTTATCACCTGTCAGCCTCGTTCCTGACTTCCCAGTCAGCCGCATGTCCAAAGACATTTTCTCCTTGACACATTTGTTGATACTGTAGTGAGCCTCAGATAGTTCTTAAAAAAATATTAATGAACTCAAAGGAGCCTTATGACACATAAGCCCACTTATGATAAGTAACTCGAGTTCCCAGTCACTTCATTTCAGGCTTATTACCTAGGCAGTGTGGGTTAAAAAAAAAAAAAAAAACAAACAACCCGAACTTTTGTGATTTCACGTGTACCCAGCATGTGACTTGCGGGTGCTGATGAGCCAGCAGCTGGCAGCTGAGGGCAGACCTTGCAGAGATGTCTGAGCTGAGGCACCAAGGCCTGAGAGGCGTTAGAGAATACCCATGCTGGGCTCAATCAGGCTCCCTCAGGGACGCTGTGTTCCGCACACCCCATTCTTGTCCTCTGCCCCTGTGACATCTTCTGCTCAGGTCACGTGATGTTCATCAGGCAGCGGAGGAAGCCAGAGTTATACAGCAGTGGCAGTGTGGTCCATCCCTGGCAGATACGCTTGGCAGGAGTGTCTCCATCCAGATGGCCCTGTTACTGTCATTCTCCTTTAATCTAGAGCTTTATTATGGAAATCAACTATAGGAAAATGAAAGGCAGACATGAGATTGTGGACTTAGTTTGGATGCCCTTAAAATAAATGCAAGGACTTGGGTCCAGCTGGGTGATTCTAGGAAACAGGAAGGCGTGGGGAGGACAGAATGGAGACAAGCCCATTACCAAGCACACTGACCAAGGGGTCACTACTGTGGCATCAATGCCCACCCTCACTGCGGGAAGCTTCGCTTCTCTTTGCTTCCGAGCTGCGTCCATTTATAGGCAGACAGCCTCCCTGGTGTCGTGAAGCCGCAAAGCAGGGAACAGGCACCTCCAGAGAGCTTCCTTGGCTTCAGCTTAGCATCATTATAGTCATAAGTCGAAGCTACATTTGGCTACAGGTCTACAAGAACATAGAATAGTTTGCTGGGAGTGTAGCTCAATGATGGGGTGCCGGCCCACTGTGCAGAAGCCCTGGGTTTGCTAGGCAGCACCTGCAAGGGTATAAGGTGGGAACACGTAGCAAGGCAGAGTCCAAGACTCCCCTTCGCAGAGGGGATCCCACTGCTGGCCAGGAACTGTTTTTCTTTGGTCTTCCAAGTGACAGCCTAAAGGTAAAGACAAGATGTGCCTTCCGCTCCAGGGAAACCATTACCTTCTCTAACAATTCCATAAGCACAAAATCAGATTCCTGCAAGGAGGGTGCAGCCTCACTCACATAAGTATGGTGTAGTGTTAGTCCAGAGGCATTGGGCCAGTGCAGGGTTGCCTAGTAACTCAGCTGGCTTTGCACTTCTCTCAGGTTACCAGGGAAACAGCATCACAAAGTTAAGTGAAGGGCAGATTCTTCTACAGAAAGCAAAAGAAAAAGATGTATCATCCTTTTGCCCGCAACTAACAAGTTGCTGACAAGCTGATGACTTCCTGGGTCAGGCAGCTGCCTCTGTCTTCTAAAAGGGCCAGTGTGTTAGCAAAGTCAGGTGGGTGTGTAGTGAACTAGCAGGGTCAGGTGTGTATTGAACTAGCAGAGTCAGGTGTGTAGTGAACTAGCAGTCAGGTGTGTAGTGAACTAGCAGTCAGGTGTGTAGTGAACTAGCAGTCAGGTGTGTAGTGAACTAGCAGTCAGGTGTGTAGTGAACTAGCAGTCAGGTGTGTAGTGAACTAGCAGTCAGGTGTGTAGTGAACTAGCAGTCAGGTGTGTAGTGAACTAGCAGTCAGGTGTGTAGTGAACTAGCAGTCAGGTGTGTAGTGAACTAGCAGTCAGGTGTGTAGTGAACTAGCAGTCAGGTGTGTAGTGAACTAGCAGTCAGGTGTGTAGTGAACTAGCAGTCAGGTGTGTAGTGAACTAGCAGTCAGGTGTGTAGTGAACTAGCAGTCAGGTGTGTAGTGAACTAGCAGTCAGGTGTGTAGTGAACTAGCAGTCAGGTGTGTAGTGAACTAGCAGTCAGGTGTGTAGTGAACTAGCAGTCAGGTGTGTAGTGAACTAGCAGTCACCTGGGTGTCAGCGCCTGCTGCAGAGGCCCCAGACTTGTGTTAACTCACCATGTGACTGGTGGTGTGTCTGTCCGTGGTGAGTGTGCAGAGCTCCATCCCTGCCCCTCGTGTGTACCCTTGTGCCTCCGCCCTCTTTGTCCTGCAGTTGCTCCAGGCTCTGCACCGCTTCACTAGGCTGGTGGCCTTCCGGGACCTGTCCTCTGCCGACGCGATTCTGGCTCTCTTTCCAGAAAATTTCCACCAAAACCTCAAAAACCTGCTGACAAAAATCGTCCTGGAGCATGTGTAAGTGCGTTTTTGAGAGTCCCTTGTTGTTAGGACTGTTCTTGTACTGTTCATAGTCTTGTTATAACTATTAGCACATTATGTGTCCTGTTATATACACTAAGCCTAGAGATAATGTAAATTGTGGTTGGAAATGCGTACAGATAAATGACAGAAGAAAATAAGATGCCTGTAGCCCCACAGCTGGAGCTTAGCTACGTCCAGTTTCTAACGGGAAGCCATTTATTTGTTTACTTTTGTTGTTTGAGGAAGGGTCTCGCGTAGCTTAGGCTTGCCTTGAGCTGCCTCTGTGGCCAAGGATGGCTCTGAACTTGTGTTCCCTCTGTGTCCTCCTCCCGAGTGCTGGGATCACAAGCATGTGCTGTACCACTGCTAGCCTGAAGGTGAGAACCTGGCTGGTGTTTCTTTTAGCATTTATATGGAAAAGAAACCTTTTGGTTTTGGTTTTAACAAACAGGACCTTGCCATTTTATAGCTGGTTTATTTTCAGCAAACAGTATTAATATTAACGACACTTCTATAAATGTTTACCCTAGGGTCGTTTTTAACAGTTTAAGAAAGTATATTCTAGAATATGGAGGAATTTAGTATAATTTTTTAGAAATCATTTAAGGTGTTGACAGCTTCTCCCAAAGACAGTTTGTAATAGAACTTTGTTAATGTATTCAGCTATTGACTTCCTGGCTTAAAGGCCATCACACAGCGGGACATACTGGGTTTTGTTATACATTGTCAAGTGGGCCAAGTTGGCTACCAAAACCATTGTTCCAAGCCACACACACACACACACACACACCCCTTTCTTGAGACTAGGTCTCCTGGAGTCTTGTTTCTGCTGCTGTGGCTGGAGGCGTGCTCCACAAGGTCTGGCCTCGCAGCACTGAGACGATTTCTCTTTTCTGTTCTCTCCCCAGTCCTATGACTGGGAAATAGCACCCCATTTTAGCTTTGAACTCTTTGAAATTAGAGATGTTGATTGTCTTTTTCCTGTATTTATTGATCATTTTTAGTTTCTTTTATGAATTGTCTGTACTTTCTAAACTGGGAAGATGCTTTTCAACACGAATCTTAAATAGAAGTGGATTGTTGTTTAGCTGAACGCTTTAAGGAGTCTGTTGGTAATGGTTGTTTACCAGGGGCTTGGTTGCTAATATATGCTGACCACCATACATTCTGATGGCTTGGCACCTCACCCTGCTGCTGCGTTCTCTAGCATTGCCGGGCTTGTGTGGTGTGTTTTGAGTAAATGAGGCACTCAGAGTAGATGCTCAGGGAGGGGGCAGTGGATTGACCTGTTCTATTTCATCTCAGAGACCAGGAGCTCAATAAGATTGTGACCCACTAAGCTTTCTGTTCTGTCGTATTGCATTGTTTATTTGGAGGGCTGTGGAGCATGCCGTGGTGACACAGAGGTCAGAGGGTGGCTTGCAGGACTTAGTCCTCTCTTTTGATCATATGGGTCTCCTACATTGAACTCAGGCCCTCTGTTAGGGCTGCAGTGTGTTTATTTTCTGCCTTTTATAGTTTTTTGTGTTTTGTTTTTCCTAAGCTATGAAAACTACCAGCATTTGGGCCTACCAATCACTGAGCTTTGCAAAACAATGAAAAGCTGCATTTGATAGGGGTTGTTTCTGAAGCCTTTTCTTGATGAGAGGCCCCAAGCTGGGGTCCCTCCTTATCAGAAAGCTTACTCTCATTGCTTTCTCATGGTTTCCTCCTTGTCTTTCCCTCTTAAACAGATCTACTTGGAGAACTGAAGCCCAAGCAAACCAGAGTGAGTACGGAGCCCCCGCCGCTACTCCCCCAGTGCCAGCGCTGAGTCCCCAACCAGGCACTTAACCACAGACCAAAGAGAACTATTCTAGTGAAATTTAAATTTCACTCTTGGCGATGATGATGATGGTGATGATGATAGACACAAGCTGCTAAAATGCAGAAACACCTCAGCAGAAAGTGAAGTACTTGTCAGCTAAGTACTGTGTCGTTAAGACAAAATAAAGAGGGGAGCAAAGCAGGCTAATAGGAGGAGGGGGAGAAAGTGGATGATGCTGACCTTAGGTAACACAGTACATGTGCAGTGACCGTAAGCAACGAGAATTGTATATATGCACATGTGTGATGTGCAGAAAGGCAAGATTAGTCATTAGCATTACTCCGAGAGGTTGCATGAGAGCGTGCTGCTGAGTGACTGCCCTTGCGTTTTTGTTAAGTCAGTCACACAGCTGGAGCTGTGTCTGTGCCGACCCATGCAGCCCTCCCAGTAACCCTGGAGTCCAGGATTCTAGATGAGGGGGTTAGGCAAGTGTGGGGCTTGCCTTCAAACCAAGGCCATTTCTTCTATAAAGCAAAGTCTCTAGCGCAGTCGCCCAAGCTGCCCTTTCTCTACGACTCAGGCCATGGCTGCATCTCCACCTCATTCACCTGTCATTCTCTCCCAACATCTGGAGTGTCAGTGTCTGGAGATGCACCCACCGGGAGTCAGGCTAAGGACAGGTGGCCCCACACAACGTGTAAGGTACACGACACACAGGTCTTAGGCCCTCCCTGTCTCTTCCTGAAACTTGCCTGTATTATATGCATACCTTCCTTTCAGCCCCTGTCACTGAATCAAAGCTCAGGAGACACAGGTAGTATAACCTCTTACCAAAGCTGTCCCCTCCACAGTCTCTCTGCCACGCCTGGTGGACCTGGACTGGAGAGTGGATATCAAAACCTCCTCAGACAGCATCAGCCGCATGGCCGTCCCCACCTGCCTGCTCCAGATGAAGGTATGCCCTCTGTCCCGCACCGCAGAAGGAATGATAGTGTGCTGACCCTCCCCCACCCACAGCCATCTGAAACACCAGCAGTCAAACGTCCTCCCCCAGGGTGGTGTCTGTTCAGATTCTACCTGCAGGCCCGTATTGACGTAGCATGGTCACAATGAAGTAGATAATAAAAGCAGAGGCTTCAGAATAGCAGGTGCAGGGCATTGTATTCCTTAAATAGTGTGCTGAGCCCGGCATTTGCAGCCGGGTTACGTGTGTAGAAGCTGACAGCCCCCTGGACCTGTCGGTAGCTTCCTGTCCAGTGGAACGGGGCCGGCACGGCTGCAGGACAGCCCAAGCGTCCGGTGGCAGTTGATTGTCAGCACTGCGTTTTCCTGCTCGCCTGCCTGGCCTCATTCTCTCCACCTTGGTGTTCTTTTCCGGAGCCCCGTAAAGGCACAGAAGCCACCTTGTAGGGTTTGTGTGGTTACAGTTAGGAGAGTGCCATGCTACCGCCACTTCAGACTCCCAGAAATCCAGCATCCATAGAAGACGAAGAAGTGGCTCTAACAGGTCCCTTTCAAAACATAGTAACGTTTCATTTCCTCTTTTAAGATCAAGAGGAACTTTTCTGTGTCTGATTGTTTTCTGCATGCCATAGAGCCCGCTTGCTCAAGTGTCATACAGACAGGGAGTGGTTCTCATTTGAGTGCTAAGACCCAGTTCCAGAGAGGTAAGTGAGCCTTCACTCACACTCGTGTGTAAAAGGAGAGTGACCCAGGCCTTCCAAGCGTCTCCTTCATTGCCAGCTGCTGAAGGATGCAAGGCTAGGGTCCTCTGCTGCACCCCAGAGAGCCCTTCTCTTCAGGAGCTCGAACTGTGTGGGGCTCGCTTCCCAGAAGAAGCAAAGACAGGCAGCTCTGACTTTCTGGACCGTGTTCTTACAGATTCAGGAAGATCCTAGTCTGTGTGGAGACAAACCCTGCATCTCGGCTGTGACCATGGAACTGAGCAAGGAAACACTGGATACCATGTTAGATGGTCTGGGCCGAATCCGGGACCAGCTTTCTGCTGTAGCCAGTAAATAGGCCAACCAGCTGCTGACCTGTGGAGGTGCGGTACTCACCACACGGGCTGAGGTGGGCACGCAGCAGGACGGAGACGCCGCTGCTCTTCAGAAAGCACAGTGGGGGGAAGGAAGCCGTGGCCATTCTTTCTCTTCCTGATGATGAGCAGAAGCTCCCACCTTTGAGAAGGCCTTGTGTGATGCTGACGTACTGCGCGGGTTGTGTGAGGGAGCACGTTCTTTATATCAGCTTCCTGAGCAGGCTGCTGTGGAAAACTTGGGCCCAAACTGGGGAGCTTACCTCCAGCATTACCTCGGAGGAGTTCATTGCCCGCCCTGGAACACATGGGGTGATTGGGGGTGATCCCAGCAGCGCCTGCTCGCCCTTCAGAGAAGCCGCACCACAGCACAGTCCCGCAGAGCTTTCCCTGAGCCTGCAGCCCTCCTGGGCCACAGCTCCAATTCAGAAAACTAAAACATGGTATTTGCCACTACTCCTGAGCGAGAAAGTGGAAAGAATTGGAAATAAATAACAGTCTTTTATTCTGGTCATGATTCTTTTTACTTGAGTTGATATCTTCAGCCTTGCTACCTCTCATTCGGGGAAATGACCTTAGCTTCTTAATTCCAAGCTAAGCTCACAGCTGCGTGGTAGGAGGCCCTGCACGGTTAATGAACCTCACCACTCTCTGCTGTCGTCCATCATGTCAACCCAAACAAAACGGTTAACAGTCAGGAGAGGCGCTCCGAGAGCTTTGCCACGGAGAACAGCTCTCTCATGCTTCACGTGCCGCAGACCCCATGTTGGGGAACCCCTTCTCCTTCAGTGATCTCCATAGTAGCTCATGCAGCCTGAGTGTGTGTGTGTGTGTGTATGTGTGTTTGTGTATGTATGTATGTATATACATGTGTGTATATATGTGTGTGTATATGTATGTGTCTGTGTGTATGTGTGTCTGTGTATGAATGTATATACGTGTGTGTATATATGTATATATGTGTGTGTGCGCATATATATGTGTCAGTGTATTATGTGTGTGTCTGTGTGTGTGTTTATATGTGTGTGTGTTTCTGTGTCTGTGTGCATGTTGTGTGTGTGTGTGTGTTGGGGTTGTTGCAGGGAGGAGGTAGCACCATTGCTGAAGAACAGTCAGGCATCCAGGCTGGGGAGACGGCCCTGCTTCTCGATGGGGATGTGCTTGACCTCTAAGGATCAATTCCTACCCAGCCCTGCTTCCCTTTTTTAATTAAGTAGACACATAATTGTATCTTCCTTCTAAGACTGTGAAGATGAAATGGTGTAACACACCTGAAAGCACTTAGCGCTGGGACAGCTAATAGGCTCGGGAACGGCAGCTCTGACTATTAATAGGCACAGCGGTAGGACGCTCCGGCTTCCGATGCATTGTCTCACCAACAGGGTTGGTATGAGGATGCATGCGGGTATCCTCCCTTTGTGGATGAGACAGCCAGCTCATGCAGGTTGCTCACCTGCTGGCAAATGGCCTCATTAGGTTGTGGGGCCAGCTTTCCTAGCTTTCTCCCTGAGACGCAGGACTCTGCAAGGGACGTGAAGTTTTTTAACTGGCTAGGTTTGGAAAATCTGAACCTGGAGATAAGAAATCTAACCTCTGACCACCCAGTGAAATACTGGGAGGTCAAGACAACCCTCTGAGCTTCTCATACCGAGCAACCTGATCTTAAAATACATTTTTACTAATTGTTTAAGAATTTCATACCATACGTCTTGGTCACATTCAACCGCCCCCCCCCCCCCCCCCCCCCCCCCCCCCCCCCCCCCGTTCCTACCGACTTCTCCCATACCCACTCCCTCCTCTCCCCTCCTAACATTGTGTACTCTGTTTGGGTTTGTTTTTTAAAGATCTGTTATCTGTACACTCATCGGTACCCGACCACTTCCTAGTGGATGATTGACTTCGTGGGGGTCACACCCTTACAATGGACTCCTCCTCTCCCAGAAGCCATAGATAGTCAATATCTCTCCAGCTAGGAGTGGAAAATTGTGCTGACCTGCCCCTCTATTCCGGCATGCTGATTGGCTTGATCTTGTGCAGGTCTTGTCCATCAACCACAGCTGCTATGCGGTCATCAGTACAGGGTCCTGTCATATCCAGAAGACACTCTCGGGCTGGTCCTCCACCTCTGGCTCTTACAGGCTTTCTGTCCGCTCTTCTGCGATTGTCCCTGAGCCTTGAAGGGGTGAAGTAGGATCCAGATGTTCCGTTGGTGGCTGAGAACTCCACAGACTCTCTGCCCTTCGGCCACTTATGCATTTCTGCCTTCACCTCTGTCTGCTCAGAGGAACTTCTCTGAGGTCAGAGAGCTGTGCTGAGCTGTGGGTGTAGAGGTGCAAAGTAAGGGGCAGTAGCCTGTTCTTAAAATGGTAGACCTGAATTCTTTGGGGTCACACCCATTGAGAGCCTGTAGGTCCTGTCTGTAGAAAAGGGCTGTTTGATATTTTGTATGCCATGACCAGTCATGAACCTGAGACCCCAGCCCACTACTTAGGGTCGACAGTCCCCGGTCTGCTCTCATGGACGACTCAGCCTTGATAGGAATTCGCCCGTTTCCTTCCAGCGCCTGTTATCTGATGTTATCTGTTATCACATGGCTGGCTTCACATCTCAGTCTCCCATTACCCGTTGTCTTTCGTAAAGGACATACAAGGAGTGCTGGCTGTGTGTCTGGGAAATTGGATATTCTGTTTGAATCAATGACACTTGGGGTGTGAGGTCACACTGAGCAGACCTGGGAAAGTCAACAAATGTCTGGTGCTCTTGGATAATCCTTTTTAAGAGCCTCGGGGATTTTTGGTTTTTTAGCAAGGGTAGACTGGTTGGGTCAACACAATTTCAGAAGGACCTCTCACTTCCCCGTGGATCGCAAGGGAAGTTCTGCACTGGGTGATTGTCTGGTTTCCTGGGACCACTGCTCAATGAGCAGCTCTCTGGAAGCCCCTTCCCTAGGGTGCAGAAAGATTTAACGTGCAGACTCTTCATCAGAGGGTCAGTCTTGGAGGGATGGTGCTCCTGCCTCCCCAACACATCCCACCTACATACAACACAGCAGGAAGGTGAGCAGCCGCCTCAGTCCTGATCAATGCATCTGTCGCTGAGTCTGTACTGTGGCTGTGCCTCGCTCCGGAAAGCCAAGCAGTCTTTCCCTGCCAGGGATGGCCAGCCCCGCCTCTGGGCTCCTTCAGTGAGTCAGCAGTGCTGAGACCTACTTTCCTGTGCTTGGAGCCTGTCTGCTCCAGACCCCAGAGGATGAGGAGGGAGATGAGGATGGTGAGTGGTGAGTCAAACCCACTCCTCTTGGAGTGTCTGCCCAACCTGGTGGACGTCCATGCTATGTTAGGGTACAAGGGCGTGTGGAAGCGAGACTTCCTCGAGAGTTGTCCACCTGGTTTGGGGAGTGCTGACCCTCTCTCTGGGGTGACAGCTGGATCAGCCTTGAACTCGCTGCACGCTGGGCTGACAAGTGAGTCCAGAGATCTGATTCTGTCTCCCTGGCACTGGGATCATAAGCATGTGCCACCACACCCAGCTTTTTTTTCTTTTTTTTAATTGACATATTTACTTTTATTTTATATGCGTTGACGTTTTGCCTGCCCACATGTCTATGTGAGGATGTCAGATCCCCTGTAACTGGAACTACAGGCAGTTGTGGCTGCCATGTGGGTGCTGGGAATTGAACCTGGGTCCTCTGGAAGAGCAGCCAGTACTCTTAATTAACCGCTGAGCCATCTCTGCAGCCCCTCATACCCAGCTTTTTTACGTGCATTCTAGGGATGCAAGCTCGTGGCCTTGTGCTCAAACAACAAGCAATTTACCATCGGAGCCATCTCCCTACTGCCGCTGATTCAGTCGGGGAGGAGAGTGGGTGATTCTCCACAGATGACCTGAGTTTGCCTTGAATGCAGTGACTTCCCGCTCTCCCACATCAGCCTCTGGGGATCATCTTTCCTTTTCTGCTGAAGTTCAGTCTGACAGTTGGCATCAGTCAGTCACTCACTGGGTCTTTGCTCACACACAGGCACCCTGTCCAGGCATCTATAGACAAACTCCAGCCTGGTGTTCACAAATTGCCAACTCCGATATGGTTTAAAAGCTGAGATGTTACCACCCGTGAGAAACTTTTATTAGTTACCATTCTTTTTAAATTCTAATCTAGAAGCTATTGACCACCTGGCACTTTGAAGATTTTTCAAGTCATTAGACACAAGGACTATTCTCAGCTTCTATCGGCTGACGTCCAAATACTGATAGTTTTTTAATATCCTTAATTGCACACTGGTGACCTTTGTAGAGCTTCCCGCCTTGTTTGGTGCCCGTATTTCTGTGACTTAGTTGCCCTCTTCACAGTTTTGAAAAGGAAAACCAGCTTGTTGATAGTAGTCCCTGGTTGGTGCTAGAGGACCCGAATCTCCAAGGAGAGATTTTGGCGGCCCTGAATGCCCGGGAAAGGCCCTGGTGGGCTTTCAGAACTCACCCGTAAGGGGGGTGAGGACACTGTTTAGGCAGCATAGATTTCGGTTCACCTCATGGCCTGCTGGCTGACGAATGGTGTCAGTGTGCACACACTGCCCAGAGAAGGATAACATCACCCCACATAGTGACAAACGCAGGGATGTCTCCAGTCTTCAGGGGACCTGGTGGGAATTGCCAGGAACTCGAGGGGTGTGCATCCCTAGGGTTAGCCTCTGGCTAGGATTTCAGAGGCTCTCGCTGAACTTCAAGGAGGGAGGCTTGCTATTTGTTTGTTGATTTGGCTGCATTAATAAAAGCCCACTTCCTGTGGATCCTAACATTGAGGCAAGCAAGCGTAACGTAAAAGTCTGAAGCGGTAGAAAACCTGCATTGATAGGATTGGTGTGTGCCTGAGATCGTGGACGGAGGTTCTGTCTTCTGCTTTACCCGTCACAAGGTGTTGCCCCCACTGCCGTGGACAGTCTGCTCACCACTGTGTTCTGGGGCTGTACCCCACGGAGGAAGAAGAGAGTACACCGGAAGCTACCACATTCTTTCCTGTCACTGCTCAGACTCCCGCAGCTTGTCCTTGGCCTCAGCGTAGGTAGAGAGAGGACAGCAGACACAGCTGACAGGCAGTGTCGTACGCACCATCTCAGCGACTTCAGCGCAATGTAACCTCAAGTATGGGCGACGAGAAGAAAGCAGAAAGCACCATGGGGTTTGGAGGTAGAGATGTATATGCCCAACGCACAGCAGACTGACCAATAATTACCCAATTATGACTCACAGATTCATACAGGATTTGATCACTATCGCTAAACTGTGGAGTCACTTTCATAGAAGTCATGGGTGAATCTGAGTGACAGTTTGAACAGAAGTGGCGTTCATTTTTATTATCTCTCAATAAGGCTCTGTTGCTCAGGCCCTAATTCATCAACTTCGGCCATTCTTTATGCTTTCAAGCTCTCACTGACTTCAGGTCCACAGGAGTCCACCTGTAGCACACCCTCCCACCAGCCGTGGCTTGTGGGTAGGAGTCCGCTCCAGAGGTCCCG